CTTGGAGGGCTTTCATATTAGCAACTCCAAACACATTCCTGGTATTAAAAACATGATCAGAACTAGGCTGCTCACAACTACCCCTAGGCAATGCACTTTGAAGAAATGCACATTTTGAAATCATCACCATGCCGCTCCTCCTTTGCTGATATTGAATCCAAATGAATCTGTTCAGATGTATTAAGCCAAACTTCACAACAATCTCACTTTTTTTTGACCTTTCTTCCATTTTTTTTATTTAATGGAAGTAGTAAAAAATTCTCCAGAAAATTGGATAAGATGTGAATCTAAATAACCATAAGCATGGACAAGATAACCCATGCTAACCCAACGTGAACTGTCTTTGAGCTGCAGTTACTCAGAGAAATTTGTCAGTTTTTAAACAGGCTGCATTGGCCCATGAATGAAAGCAGTGGTTTGAAGTGAATTCTCCTTTTTCTCTTCTACTATACAGCCATATATCATCAACTCTTCCATAATGTGTGGCTTCCCTTGAAATTGTTGACCTGCTGAGGAGAGAAAAGAAAAATAAATACTGTCAAAACCAGTCATCTGTAAAGATAAGGTAAGGTGGGAATGTAGCCTCAAAAATTAAAAGGGGAAAAAAACAGTTATGTAAAATAAGTGTGAAACAATGCCATTTGGGCACTACCAAACGAAACTTTGTTACAGCTAAGAATCATCCAGGAGATGGCTCATATTCAGATATCAAAGACACCAGGACCCAGAGACCGGAAATGAGCACAACAGTATCAGACCAGTGTGGTTTTACAGATCAGTTCCATTCTGCCTCTGCTCACCTTGCCTCACTTCACTGGGATTGCAGCGTCCTGTCCCACTCTTAAACCTACTGGAAATTTCCCCAGAAAGATGCAAAAGCCAAACGAACGGCATACTTCACAAAACTGAAAGGCAAAACCTATGGGGAAAAGTAGAAGCAAGTCTGACCACTTGTGCTTGCAAATTGCAATGTTTCTTTACCTTTTAAGTGCCTTATGAATCTGCCAGCAAACAGCCTATCAACATAAATAAAAAAGTAAGAATTTGAAAAGGGGTGCACTCAGAATAATGTTTCTTAAAGATTTCCATCCCACAAGATAGAAACAATTACCAGGAGTCATACAGCAAAGGGTAAATGGCAGCCTGAGTCTGGACTGACCAAGTGATAAGCATTCACTTCTGTTCTAACAGCAAGTGTTGAACTCCCACTAACTGCTTCTGCTGTGACAGAAATAGAAATGCACAAAATGTCAAGATCTTAAACAAAGCAGTCAGAGGTACCAATAAGGAAGTTAAAGTTCAGGCATCCAAATGAGAGTGATGCACAGAGAGCACCTGGCTGTCTTCTATTGGCCTTCAACTCTGCTGAGTGCATAGTTTGTCCCAGCCTGCTCTCTCAAAGGTGGCAAAAAGAAAAATACTTGAACTGAGTTTCCATTGACCAAACATGCACAATTTTGCTCCTTATCAGCTGCTGAAATCATGTCTTTTGACAAAGACTCTTTGAAACAACTAAACTGCCAAATTCAGATTTCAGTTTTGCAGCAAGGTAATGTTAGCAGGATGCAGTAGCCCTGTGGCAGCCTGCCCCTCCTTGCTTCCCTTCCTCCACAGAGGTGGGGGTCTCCTGACAGCAAGGAGCAGGACCCCATTCCCGCCTGGGAAAGGGGAGCTTCAGTGTAGTTGTGCTTCTCAGGCTGGGTTGAAATCTGAGTAACAGATGAGGTGAACAATTGCATCCAGCCTGCAGCATTTTCCAGCCTGTGCTGGAAATGCACACCCAGCCTACCTATTTTCTGCAGGACGTAGTTCTTCCTTGCTTCTACCCAAAAATCTTCTGTAAGAAAACTGTGTCCCGGGCAGTCTTTCCTCCCTTCTGTGCAAAACTCATTGCTTTTCGATGGTGGATGGAAAGGGCTCCTGTAAGCCTACATACTACAAGCGGCATATGGTGGTGTTGCTGTCGGTTTCAGATGATTGGGGCTCGATATCTACTTGCTGGGAAGTTGTGAGCTACGGTGACTGCTGCCAGGAGGGGAGCAGGGCTGCAAAGGTAAGAAAGCCCAAGTAGATCTCCAGTTCAGGGTTTGCCCGTGTATGTGGTAGCACACAGGTGCTTGGTGCAGCACCTTGCAGCCCAGCATAACTATGTTTGTGTGCCTGCTTTGAGTTCCATCATCCGCTTTTCACATCCTGGGTTTCTCACCAAGTTTCTTTCACTGTGTTTGAGGTCCTGCCTGATGTCAGAGACCACATGATATGAGTCAGAAGCAGCGATGAACAATTTGACTCTCACGTGTCTTAAGTGGTGTGTCAGCCTATCACTGCTTACTGTTTTGCTTTTGAATATTCATTTTCTGCTATTTCTTTGAGGAGGCACACACTCCATAGGCTGGCATAACCATGTGGAATCTACTAAGCAAAGCTAGCACTGCTAGCAACAGGCATACCAGTCTGCATGTCAGCTCTTCAAATTCATTGTGTTGCCGAGGGCAAGAAAGTAAGTGAAGTAAGCATTTTTCTGGCTCTTTTATTATATGGACTGTGACAATTTAGATGAAGGAATATAGTGTTTATTTGGAGAGAGTTCAGCTTCCTCCCCAGAAGAATTCATAGAATGGTTTGGATTGGAAAGGACCTTAAGATCATCTAGTTCCAATCCCCTGCCAGAGGCAGGGACACCTCACACTAGATCAGGTTGCCCAAATGTCTGCCCAACCTGGCCTTGAACACTGCAAGGGATGGAGCATTCAAAACTTCCTTGGGCAACCTGGGGACCAGGTCTGAAGGCACTAGAAGTTCCTTCTCCACCTGTGATTATTTAATATATAAAAACTAGATCAAGAAATTTTGCGAGTGATCATAGTTCATACTGCTCACCTAGAGTGTAACTTTCAATTTATTGCCTCTTACAGCTATAAATGTAATGAGATTACTACCACGCTGGTAGCACAAGAAGCCAGAAAGAAGCAGATACAGGACACCTGAACCAAACTAGCCAAAGGGGTATTCCATACCATAGCACATCATGCCCAGTATATAAACTGGGGGGAGTTACCTGGAAGTGACTGATTGCTGCTCAGGTCAGACTGGGTATCGGTCAGTGTGTGGTGAACAATTGTATTGTGCGTAATTTGTGGTTCTTGAGTTTTATTCCTCTTTTTCTCCTATTATTACTGTTATTAATATTTTACTTTATTTCAATTATTAAACTGTTCTTATCTCAACCTGCAGGATTTACATTCTTCCAGTTCTCCTCCCAATCCCATCTGGGGTCAGGCAGACATGAGCAAGCAGCTGTGTGGTGCTTAGCTGCCGATGGGTTAAACCACAAGAGGCTGACAGTGAGCATGATTTTACTTTATTTTAGATGAAATCTAAGCTATGAACTGCAAACCTAGTTTATAGCTGTCTGAACTTAAGAAGCAGAAGTAGTCAACTTTGTTCTTCTTGTTCTTTAAAAAGCTTAATATGTAGGTTGTTTGGGTGTTTTGTTGGGGTTTTTTTGCCTTTTTTTAACCTTTAGGTAGAGTCAGGAAAGTCCCACATCTTATACAGCAGAAACTAAAGATGGAGACATTAGTATTCTGTGGGTTCATTTAGCAAGTACCAATTAACAGGTTCCTGTTGTTCACTCAGAAAGTTAAAAACTTTGTTGCCAAGTTGCAACAAAGCCATGGCTAGCTTTGAGTGAGTGATACTGTACATGAGCAGTTTCTGATATTATAAATACTTTCATTCACTGGAAAACAAACTAGAGCATCTACTTCAAAGTGTGTCTGTCCTGTAGAATTTAGAAAGAACTCCTGGAAAGCCTGAACAAAGCACACTGAAATTTGTGAATACAGTGGATTTCAGTGTACGTTGTTGACCTGAACTGCTCTCTCCTACCTAAAAATTGTTTAGACTGTTTATATTCTGGAGCTTATACTCGCCATCTTTGAAATCTTTTTGAAAAACTAGAGCAAAATACTATAGTGCAACCTCCCCTGCATTGTCTTTACTTCCCTCTTAACTACTGGAATTAAATGTTCTTTCTTTCTGGTAGAATTCCTTTTTACTACCTTGTTAGTCATAACTTCTTTTGAAGCTTCAGCCCTCTTGCCTTTATACGCTCATGCTATTATTTTGTACTTGCTTTGAGCCAGAAAGGTCTAATCTCACTTTTTATATGGTTTTGTATCCATTTCCAAATCCCAAAGTTACTGGGGCATTCTTCCCTGCTGCTTTTTCTCTTTCCTGCTGCTTTTTCTCTGCCTTTGAGGTTTTAATACATTTTTTCAGCCACAGTCAATGCTTTGCCCAATTTAACCCAATGGATAAGCAGTTTTCCATTCTTTTCTGGTTGCAGTTCCCCTTGCAAAACTGTAGATTTCTGAATATTAAACCAAATAAATTTATTTTCTTTGAGGGTTGTATCTTTATTTGCTGTAATTTCAGTGAGTTTCACTTTCTTGTGGAAAGAATTCCCCATTAGATTAGGTCCTCTAGAGAATAACCTGTCCTCATCTGCGTGCTGAAAGCTGCTCTTTGAATGCCACTGTCATTATTTTGCTTCCTTCCTTCTTCCTGACCTTAGAATAAGACACCATCGCTGTGATTATTCAGATGACTCAAAAACAAACAAACAAACAAACAAACAAAAAAAACCAACAAAAAAAGACATTTCAATATAGAAATCCTGATTTTATTTGAAATAATCAACAAAATTACAAGATGTTTTAGCTTAGTGCTCCACTATGTTTATTTTGTTATTACAAAACTGCTCTCTGGTTGAAAGTCCTACAACTGCAGCAGCTTGAAAGCTGCTTAACAGAATGTCACAAATAGCATTTTTGGTTTTCTTACAGACCTTTGCTAGCTAATCTCTCCATGTGTGACAAACCTATTAGTTTGAAAGAGGAAGTGCTAAACAGGCTGTACAAAACAAATTTTTCAGTATCTGTGGCAGGCTTTTTGCTGTTGGCAGCCTCCATTTTAAAGGGAGTGGCTTTTTCACTTCATTTCAGTTTATCAGTAGGCTGACTTATAGTTTTGCCATCATCTGCCTCCAATTCATTTACATCTTTCTGCAATTCATTTACATCTTCCTGCAATGCATCCTCCAGCTCATAGTCTGAGACCGCTTCAGTGTTATCATCCCAGTAATCAGCTTCATATCTGTCCATTAAGTATTTCTGTGGTGTAATGTCATCATCAGGAGGATTCTTTGGTTTTTTCTTTTTCATTTTCTTTCGAATCTGAGAAAGCTGCTGCTCCTGCTTTTCTGTCCAGGCAATGCTTCCTGTATCTCTTGACACTTTCAGTCTTTTGTAGTCCATTATCTGCTTGTTCAACAGTTCATGATCAATACCAAAAAGATTAGACCGCATGGGTGGATCTGAAGATTCAGTTGCTGAAGAGAACAGTTTACTGTGGAAAGGAAAACAAATGATGTGGTTTTTTTCTCCCCGTATATATTTTAAGGGGCAATGCAATTTTGACAATTTGAGTAACACAGAAATAACCTGGAGTTTTCGGTTTTACTTTATTAATGCACTGTGTTCAGCATTGTCCTTCCTACATTAAGAAGGAAGAGATATCACCGAACCGTGTGTCCAAGGAAAGGCTGCATGTAAGCCTTTCAGCATGTCAACAGATTTAATGGGAGGAAACCAATACAGCAACTACATTCCAGAGGAAACTGCTTATTTCTGGGAAAAGGTGTGCACAGATAACAAGAGTGAGCACTGGACCTGGGAGCTCCAAGGAAGTTAGACTTCTCACAGCTATTCCAAGAAGTGAGAATCAGCATCCAAACACATCAGACAGATGTATGAATGACAGCATGTAGCACCTTAAGCATTAAGTACTAATGCTTACGCATTAAGTATGGATTTAAGTATTTGCACAAGACACAGAGAGAGGAAGATGGCAGGTGCCCTGTGGGCAAGTCTGTCACAACAGTGATTCCTCCCAGGAAGCTCTTTCTGATTTGCATCTGATGAATCAACTGTTTTGTGAGATGTTAAGGCACAAAAAGCATTTCCACCAACAGACTGCAGGCTGCTGGCTTCAAGAGCATCCAGTCCACAGAATCTAATGAATTCTACTAGAATTCAGCCCTATCCCTCAGTAGCCAAAAATCCCTCACAAAAGAATGCTAAATTAACTTACTTATTGTTAACATAGAAAGATTTGTCAGTAAATTTGTAAGTAAGTCATGTATAACAAATCAGTTTTATACCAGAAAAAAGTGGCCAAGGAGAGGAGTGCTGGTAAATGTAGAGGTTTTATCCTCAAGAGAAAATTACCAGCAAGAAACAAGTATTACTGCTGCAAAGTTTTTTGGTTTGTTTTGTTTTATTATAAAAAATACTTGATATTAGATTATTATTTAATATCAAGTATTGAATTCTTAGAAATTCTAAAAATATTTCCTTTATAAAGATACTAATACCAGAACAAGTACTGGATCTGAAGTAATGGATCTGATGACTATGTCACTCAGAGTATGGACAACAAACACAGCTGATTTCTAAGGCTGTGTTCTGTTATCACCTCAGATTAGTTGCCTCTGAAAGCATACACACTATGCTGTAACAATTCAGTCATTCTCCACAGCTTAACAGAGGTCCGCTTATATACGAGACTTTCCATATTTGCGAACCTGTGTTCTGCAGCAAGGTTCCTATGCACAAGAATCAATGACAAAGTAGCCTATGAAAATGTGTCTCCACTAAAATATGAACATAAACCTGAGCATATGAGATAAGAAATATTTTCCCTTCATTCTAATAAATGGGTGTAACTTTGGAAAAGAAAGCTTAAGCCACAAAATTAAATGTCATCCTCTACATTTAATTTCCAGGATAATTAGATATTAGTTTTGTCCTAGGCTATTCTGTAGCCTTTTCTGTTAATAAAAGGGCCCAACTGACCTCTTTAAAAGCTGAGATGCCTTTTCGGTAAGGTCTTGCAAAAAGGCACTCTCTTCTAATTTCCTCGTAACACCAGTTGCTGAAATCTGATATAACAATGTACACATCTAATTAAAATGTATTTTCTGTCATGTCAAATAATACCCAATCTAAGTTGGCCAACAGAGATGAAAACAGATACTTGTACAATTCTGACTTTTAAAAAAACCCACCTAGAATCATTCTGAGATGTTTCTTCTGCTTCTGGAGGTCCAAAATCAGCAATTGATAATAATTCCTCAATCTGTAAACACATGAAGACAATACATATGAAAAGTCCTGGATCAAATTTACTTTGTTCACACCTACACAAGAAACAGAAAACTATCCAACAGCAAATATTTTATTTTCCACGTTTGGAATATTGTCCATTCTTAAATAGTATTTTCCTCCATGTCAATAGAATGCTTGTATGTCTTGCCTAAGAAGTTTGTGTCAAACAGATTCAGGGATTCCTACAAAGTTTTTGCCTTTCATACTTTCTTAACAGTTGGCTAGGGATTGTGTGACTTCCTTTTTTTTTTTTAATTTGGTCTTACTTCAGTCTTAGAATCCTTCATAACATCCTTACACTGAGACTCTTTTCACTTCTTCCCCCTTTCTGCAAGTTTGTATTTCTGTTACCTGTAAATACTGAGTTCCCAACTCCCATTTAACATGGCACCTAACCAGTAAATGCTACAAATCTAGTATATTCAGTGCTTAGAAACTGTACCTAATTGTGAAAATTTTATCTCAATCAAAATTTTTATTTGCACTTTTCCTTACATTACTTCCCTTCTAATTGAGCATATTATTCTAGGAGTTGAATTGGATGGTCCTTCCTTGTCTTCCAATACTTAAAAATCAGATTCAGCTACGTTATTTCAAGCCCCGTTATTCAAATCTGCGGATTACATAAATCCTGACGCACTGCAAAGTCTGAAAAGATGGTCCATTTAAGTGCTCCCAAGTGCCATTCACTGACAGAGGTTACACAAGGAGAGGTTTTACTTGTCTTACATGGTTAACTTTCTTGATGTCTATGCACTGAACTTGAAGGTAATGCAGTCCAGGCATTTTCTCCAAAACTCTTCAAAAAGAGTAAGTGGGCATTTAACAAAGCTTGAGAAACAGTGAGTGATTAATGGAATAGGCCCCACAGTAACAGAATTGAAAAGCAGAACCTGCAGGAGTACATATTTGTACTTCCATCTATGTATGTTAATAATAGGGTAATAGTAATGACAGAGCACTTCCATAATCACTATTTGTGTATAATTTATTGTGCTGATTATGGGGAGCATAAGATCGAATATAAACAGCTTTCAGAAGCGTTTATTTCATTTCTGTTCTTGTACTTTTTGTTGGTGCTAATTCGGGTGCAAAGCATTTGCATTGTGGACCAGTACACTGGCACAAAACTCAGAATTTTTCTGAATACAGAAAGTTCAAACAGTTCACTGCATTTCCAGAGAGTCTGAAGCTCTTATTATCCCTTCCAGCTCTGCAAATACACGCTGCATGAGCCTGTAAGTCAGTAGCAGTAATTGGTTGTAATAGTAACACATCTAAGAATAAGGCACTTCAGGGTACAGAAATGTGAACACCCTCTTTCCAACTAATGTTCTTTCCATTCACGTCAACAGCTTCAGAAGACATTTTTGATGAAATTCTACTCATTGGTGTCATCTTTCTCGTTTGGAAATCTCTCTATTTCAGAGATCTCACTTCACACTCCTAATGACAGCCAGTTCCTAGAAAACATCATTATTCTAACAATATTTCAACTAGTTCAAACTATCAACACCTTGACAGAAAATGTGAAACATTAAAGACAATTCTAAAAGTGGGGAAAAAAAAAAAAAGGTAGTATGAGCGAGCTTACATCCTCTATGCAAAGATCTCCACTTCGCTAGTTGGGGTAAAGAAAAATTAAAAATCACTGATTACATTCAATGGAATTTTAAAAACAAGTAACATTTAAAATGTGGAAGACAGCTCCTTAAAGCTCATTTCTAAAATCATCTATATAAGGCAAAAGATAACTGCCTACCTTATACTGTTCCTTAAAATTGTAATTTAATTTTTTAAGATTTATTGGCCTAATGATCTGGCCTACAAGCTTTTCTGAAAACTTCACTTCAGAATTTTTTATACTTAGCATCAAAAAGTGTTCATGAGGCAATAGCTACAAGGATTCTTTTATATTCTTTCACGTTTTAAGCATCAGTCTTACTCAAGATTCTTTGCTAAAATGAAGAGGAAAGCATATAAACAAAAACTGCTTTATAATGTAGATTGGTAGAGCAACTGAACAACCAGCTCTCTCCATGTTCCTAAGCATTATGGCATGCTATGTCACCATGTTCGCGTATCACTATATTTGTACATTGAGTCAAAGATTATAATTACCTCTCTTACAGCTGCACCTTCTTTGTCTTTTACAAATACTACTGGGGGTATATTTCCTAAAATCTGCTGACTCTTCAGAAGATACCTGGCAAAAACACAGCATTCATCAATTTGAGTAAGAGAACAGCACCTCCAGGACAGATAAAATACTTTAATTCCAGACTACTGCAGATTTAAATATATGGTTTGCAAAACTTACAGTCTGATGGGTATCCATTCAGGTTAGTGCTAAGCAATACATCACTGTAGAATCCCCAACTCTGAATGTATAATATATAAAAACTACTAGCTGCAGATTCCACTGAGTATTGATGATAGGTTTGTCTCCTATATGCACAGGCTGGCACTTCATTTGTCTTCCTTATCCCTACTGTAGGGGTAAGAGCAGTGGGGGATAGAGCCCTCATAGCAGGGCAAGACAACTAGTCCTACATGCTAGCTGCAGGAAGGACTGACAGGGCTTCTCTCATTTTCTTCCCAGCCAGCAACATCCCTTCTCTGAGTGGAAGCTGTTGGGAGTAAGAGGCATTGTGCTAGAGCAGGAATTACACAGCCTAGGGAAACAGGGGGTAAGGAAATGGCTCTGCAAGTATGCTTCAATGCCACCTTCCCCACTGGGGAAGTCCTGATCCTCCAACAGACTGACTAGATAGCAGAGGGTAAGCCAAGGAAAGAGGGAGAGACAAAAATCTCTCTGATATCCTGAAAACCCACTGGACCCTCTGTCAAAAATGGGTAAAAGTATCATAATACATGGTAGTATCCCTTTTTTTTTTTTTTTTTTGTATCAGTAATGTGAACAGTTTCTGTAATGTCAATCATCCCTTCTGGCGGTCCAAATTGTCCCTAACAAACAGAATTGCCCAGTGAGTCTGTAAGGAATTACTTATTGCAATTGCCAGTCCTCCTGTGCAACATCATATTCTGGCCTACTGTCATGCACAGCATGTCCAGCCCACCATCACTAGTACAAGGACGTAAAACTTCATACAGACTCTCCTTTCTTTCAGCTCAGCCTAGTCCAATTCTAGGAAAGCACAGAAGCCAAATAAGCCAGCTGTGCTCCAACAGGAGAATTCACAGCTGGTCTGACACAGCCATCCTCCCCTGTGAGGCTCATCACAAGACATGCTCTGACTCCAAATATCTAAAAACCCAAAGCATCCTAACAGGTCAGATACAGATTGTTAGAAATACTCAAGAAATGGCATAGTACATGGCTATAAATTTATGAAGTGACCTAACTGTTTACCCCGTAGCAGTACCGTATACGTGGAGCACTCTTCTGCAGTACACTTTCAACATAACTTTCTTTCTCCATAGTAGCAGCAGGATTCCAGTACACACGACACGCTGAGAAGTTTGATGCCAGAGACACCTGCAAAAAGACAAATGTTTCTTTAAAATTATACGTATATAATTTTATACACACACTTCATATACAACAAAGTTTCTAATTCATGAATAAGCATACAGTGATCTAAACTGCATATGTAAAGTGTTAGGAGAATCTCTTCTTCCATCTCTGCTCTTAAGAACCATAATTACATGGTGCCTTTAAGAGTTTAACACGAAATAAAATTTACATTCAGTACCTGAAAGGACTTTTTTATTTAAGCAAGTCACTGCCTAACCTCCCCTTCAACTGAAATTAAACAGAGAAGTCTGCCAAGACCTGCATGTTACTGACAGTGCTCCATTTAGTCACCACAACAGTGTTACCATCACGAACTGTCCAGAATGACAATGTTCTAGAATATAGTTGAAAGTATACATTTCTGCTAAAGAAGGACCTGGTTTGTTGTCACCCATAATTTGATTTTGATATTGATAAAAAAGAGGACACTCTCCCTGCCACTGTAATGTAAGTACCTCTCCAGCTCTAAAGCCCACTGGCAACCTCCGATGCCTGAACCTCTACATCACTAACAGGTAATATTCATAGATGTCATACATGTAATTGAAAACGCATGGTGTACAGAGGTCAAAGCACACGTAAGATCTTCCTGAAGAATAAACTTGTGAAGCACAAATTGGATTCTGAAAGATTTCTGAAACTGTCATTCATCACATCTAGCGGTGTCTTACAAACAGGTTCTCATTATGACAGTATACTTGGCAAACTTCTAACAACCTATCTAGCTCAACCAAAGGAAGGAGCCAAGGAAGAGGGAGGAGAAAGCATAAACTACCCATTGGAAGGCACAATTCAGAGGTCATCTAGTCCAGAAACCAAAGCTTCAAACAAATAGGTATCTACATATATCACCAGAAAAAGACACTGCCATCAGAGTATTCCCAGGAGTGAAAACTGCATCAGTCTGCTACTGACAGTGCTACTCTTTCCTAGGGCAGATGGACTGTCCCCAAAACCCAAACTAGATACTGATTTTTTCTAGCATCTAATAGCTCCTCCCTTGGGAAACCCACCACTCACTAAAAAAAAAAAAAAAACAAACCACTGTGATCATTAACCAGCTGTTTCTACTGCAGGATCAACCCTCCCTTGCGTCTAATGCAAGCACACAAACAACCCCATCTAACTCAAGCCATTTCTTCATCATCACGAGTCATGTTATCAAGTGGATAAATGTTTGATGTATCAGGTCTGAAGCATGATTCTTATCTGTTACTATTATGTATATTTAACTTCTCATATGGAAAAAAAGTAAATTCTGATGGATTGCAGAAATGGGTTTAAATTTCAACATGGGAAGTTCAGGTTAGATATAAGGAAGAAGTTCCTTACTGTGAGGGTGGTGAGGCACTGGAAGAGGTTGCCCAAAGAAGTGGTGAATGCTCCATCCCTGGCAGTGTTCAAGGCCAGGCTGGACAGAGCCTTGGGCGGCATGGTCTAGTGTGAGGTGTCCCTGCCCACGGCAGGGGGTTGGAACTAGATGATCTTAAGGTCCTTTCCAACCCTGACCATTCTATAAATCTAAGATTCTATTTCTTTTGATAATGGAAGTAATGATATCAGACCAGAATCAGCTCTAGAATAAATCAAGACTGAGTCTCAGCCACATCCTAGCGCAGCACAAACTTTTCCTAAGCAGTACACAGTTACAATAAAATCTGTACTATATTTGAAAGAAGGCTGCTTCTTTCCCTCCCTTGTATTATAAATTGTTTCATTTACAGCACTGAAAGTGTTGTGGTTTGCCTACACCAGCCAGTATTTTTAGGTGCAGACATGCCATCCAAGTTAGACGAGCAATCCTCAAAGCCCTGGAGAGAGAAGTACCGTATGAAGGATACTGCACATACAGAGCCAAAAGATTCACCTTGCCCAGGTAATTTTAATCACATGCCTGAAGACAGAATGAATTCAGCTGGCAGAAACATCCATTTCAATCATAAATGACAAACCCCTTGTCACAGATACAGCTATGAGGTGCAGTTTGTTTTTCCATGCTTCTAAGTCCGTCAAGCTTTTAAGCCAAACACAGGTAACCTTAACAAAACCACAAATGTAAAAGAAAAAACTACAGTGAACAAGAATGTGGAGACTTAGTTCCTGAATCAGAGCTTTAACGTCCCTTTCAAACCCATGAATTATGACAACGATAGCTACAATTAGGTACAAATTCTAAATCTTTCTGTAACCTTGCTTGTCAATGCCATTTTCTTAGGCTTGTCTTTTTTTTGAAGGAAGCTCATGCCGCACTTAAGTCTTCTGCCTGTATAGTGATGCTGGTGAGGAACACAAGGAGGTATCAACTTTCACAGAGCTGCATGGAAAAGACTCTGGGAAAAATACACTCACATTGGCAAAACCAGGCTCCTCTTTCGGAAAGGGCAAGGCAAAGAGTACATGTCTGAATAATATAAAATGAAAAGTCATAATAAGAGAATCACCATTTAGTTGGCCTAAGCTGCATTTGCATTATAGTGGCAAAGGTCTACTAAGCCAGGTGCACAATGGCAAAGTTCTCCTAGTCTGCAAGATGAATCCACAGCCTCATCTTGTTGTGCTCTGCCACATCAGAAGCCATGCAGTAGAACTCCTGCACGCATCACAACACCCAGAGTTGTTCCTTTGGCCTGCTATGCCAACCTCCAGGCATAGTCAGATAGGCTCAAAACAAGTTGAAGCTTTGGCACTTGCCTTGCAGATTTCCAGCTTAAGATCATAAAGTTCTTGATTAACTTCACAGGTAGCCATCATCTCTGCCACAGCTTTATGAATAAGACCATTCAAGACTCTGAGGCGTATGTTATCTTCTTTCCTAGTTTTTATCTGTTCAGCTTTCATTATGGACGCCAACGTGGTTGGTTTATACATCTTTAAAACAAAACAAAAACTCAACACATTAATCCATAGTTACAAACTTGTATTTGTATTAAGCATTTAATACACAGGTTTTTACACTTAGAATGCCATTACTGCAGCTGTGATGGTTTATATACGTCTTATGTATCATATGGTTCAATGAAGAATATTTCTGTTCAGAAAATCTTCACATATTACAGTCATTACATGTATTATAGTCAAGGTTTCTTCGTTTATTTATTATTTTTGAAGCTAGTTACACAGGTCAATAAATCCCTTTTTTAAAATACAGCATGCATTAACTTGAAAAGCACTATCTGTTTGAAAAGCAGACATAAAAACTTGTTTTCCATAAAAGTAAAACTAATCTGGTACACAGAAGTTTTAATCCGGATCAGTTCTCTGCTGTAGGCTCAAGAGCATGCAAGGGACATGGTTTAGGGGTGGACTTAGCAGTGCCAGGTTAATGGTTGGACTTGATGACCTTAAAGGTCTTTTCCAACCTAAGTGATTTTATGATTCCAAGACAGCATTGGTTCTGGTGTGAATGAAAGATCAGCACAGAAAAGGCAACAGCCATGGGAGCTGAATGACTTCTCTCAACATCGATCCTGGCATATCATAATGAAACTGGAGCCCTAGTGTTCATCACACAATTTTGCTATTTCCACCAGAAAATGCTTTTCCCAAAGTCAGACACAACCACAGAAGCACAAGCGTGTTCCTCCAGGCACAGAAAAACACAGCACCTTAAAAGCTTACACTTACCATTTTAGATCCCAGGGTAGGGCTCTCACACCAAAACTTCTTTCTTTTGGGAAAAGGAAAGGAAATCAGCTTTATCTTTCAGCAGCCCAGGAAAACAAAGGATTCCCTGTGTAATTAAAATGCCACCCACCTGAAAGCACACACCACCACTCAGGTTTTCATGCCCACAGGTAGTTTTCCCCACAACAGTTAGACTAGGGTGTGCCGCCGGGAGCAATGCTCCCTATCCACGGCTGAAGCTGCATGGAGAGGCGGGGAAAAGTATCACAGAATGGTTTCGGTTGGAAGGGACC